TTAATATTTTTGAATGCCTAAAGTAGAGACATTCTTATGTTGACTTTCATGTCAAAATTGTAAGTACTCTTCTCCCAAACTCATTTTAAGATGTGATTATGTTGCTAGCGATATAAGGGTTATACTCTTACAATATTAACAGTTTATTCCATCTCTTTACCCCTGCCCCTCCTTTCCGTTGTCTTCTTTAGGTCAGCCCCAGTTGATGCTGACAGCAGGACCCAGTGTTGCAGTTCCTCCCCAGGCACCTTTTGGCTATGGTTATACTGCACCACCCTATGGGCAGCCACAGCCTGGCTTTGGGTACAGCATGTGAGATGGAAGCGATCCTGAGTGTCCTATTTTCGTACTGAAATATCGTCTCTACCTGCTTCTCAGTTTATAACGGGGGAAACCAGGCACATGTTCTTGTAACCTTTATTTCATGAAGGACTTCTTTTTGTTTCTCACTATAAACTTGGATCACCTATATGTTAAAAGCTTATTTCACATTCCGCGTCATTTTAGAATTTATTTTCAAAGGGGAATTAGTTTCAATGGTTTATTCACAGGCTTTGTTTCTTTCCCCCTTCATTCTTTGAAGAACTGCTTAATATTCAATCTGTCGTGAAGAACCTGATTTGCACTCTGTAGTGTTTAAAGAAAAACTCTCTACTATTGAATCTCTTAAATTTAGTGTATGTAAACAGCTTACAGTATGTATTGTCTAGATGCATTTAAATCTTTTATTCAAAGAAAAGCTAAAGTGAAAATATTGGTATGTGACCATGCAAGACTGTCAATGCCAGCAAAGACAACACTAATCAGCATCTCCTACACTGGATTGCAGTGCTCTCCAAATTATTTGAAGAATGCATTACAGACAACTTGCCTGACTTATAAATGAGCATAAAGGCCCTCTAACCTATGCAGGTTTTCTCATTACGCATATAGAAAATGCTAGTGTGTTTTTGCTCACTTCATCTGTAACAGGTGCCCTTATGTTGTGCTGTATCCTGTGCTTTTTCTGTGGGACCATTCCATTCAGGAACAAAGAGCACCATGATTCCAATCTGTGTGTATTTACTAACCCTTCCCTGAGGTTTGTGTATGTTGGATATTGTGGTGTTTTAGATCACTGAGTGTACAGAAAAGAGAATTCAAACAAAATATGGCTGTTCTTCAGTTTTGTTTGTGGAATTTGAAATTACTCAAATTTAAAATAAATTACTGGACTGTGGAAATAATATGTAGAATGGCAGTTTTAATGAACTACCTCTCAAACTTAAGCCAGTGAAACCAGCTTCCCCTTTTTCCCCCTCATCTTTCATTCTCTTTGAAACCAGGCTTTTAGTAGTTTCAAATTGAGTAGTACAGTTGCAGATGGCACGAGAACAGAAATGGAAGTGATGATTGAGACATGTGAAAACAATGCAGTTTTACAAGCTGGTATGCATTCCTGTAAGTAGGAGCGTTAGTCTATAAAGAACTGATAGGTCCGTGGCGCATCCTAATTTTGACTACATCGATCATTTTAACCAAGTGGCACATCAGGTTTTTATCTAAGCATTTCAGTTAATTTAGCACCCGTGATCTGTTGGTTTAGCTGAAAAGTGTAAAAGCAGGTAGTAATACGATGTTCCTAACCATGAATTGTGGGAGCCCCCATATATGAGTAGGTTAATGTGATTTAAAAGGGGGGGGGGCTGGAGCAATAGCACAGCGAGTAGGGCGTTTGCCTCGCACATGGCCACCCAGGTTCGGTTCCCAGCATCCCATATGGTCCCCCTGAGCACTGCCAGGAGTAATTCCTGAGTGCAGAGCCCGGAGTAACCCCTGTGCATCACCGGGTGTGACCCAAAAAGCAAAAAGAGGGGGAAAAAAAACCAACTTAGAACTATTGTTTCTCTGTCTATCTTCTTTAAACAGAGTTTACTATTTCTTGGGAAGTTCCTTTTTGTTTCCCATAGAACATTTTTTGCTGTTAGAACTGTGGCTTTACTTTGTGTCTGTGGCACCTCTGACCCTCTTCTTCTTCGACTTTATCAAAATTGAGGGAGAACATGCAGAACAAAGGCCCAGGTAGGGGCAGTTTGGGAAAAGCCCTACCATCAGAGCAACTTCGTGAAGATAGACCATTGTGTGTTTTCCATCTTAGGGACCCTCACATCTCAATCCAATATAAGTCCTCAGATTTCCCCTCCTAGAGAAGCCTGTGAACTGTCTTGGACACATAACTCTCAAACCCCCCATCTCTCTCCATATTTCTCTAAATAAAACTTTTATTTCCAAAACAAATTGAGGAAGAAAAGGAATTAATGGTCCCCTAGAGTTCATTCTTTTAACAATGAAAGGCTTCTCTTCCTGAGAGTGTAAGAGGGAAACTGCCATAGAGGCCGGGGGGGGGGGGGGGGGGGGTGCAGGGGGGGTTGGGATACAGGGGACACTGGTGGTGGAAAATGTACACTGGTGAGGGATGGGTGTTCAATCATTATATGACTGAAACTCAAACATGAAAGCTTTGTAAGAGTAGCTCACCATGATTCAATTAAAAAAAAATAAAGCTTTCTCTTTCCATCCCAAATAAAGTTAAAATACTCTGGAATGCACCAGATATCTTAAAATATTCCACAGAATATTTATAGTCAGTGGTCAAGTTTATGAACAGTTTCTTACTGCTCGTTGGTTAAAAAAGATTAGTAAGTGAAAAAAAATGGGGAGGATGTTGCTACACCACATAGCTCTAGTGTCACTCCCAGCAGTGCTCAGGGAACCACATGGTGCCAGGAATCCAACTCTGGTCTCTAGCACGCACAGCATGTGCTTGTGTCTTTTATAGCTTCCAGCTAGCTCAGATAATTTCTGTTATCTGAGTATAGAGCATTGAAGAGTTCAGTGCCTACTTACACAGGTAGGTGCCTACGAGGGGTGAGCAGTTTCACCGTTACTTTTGGGTCATCAGGGAAAGTGATGAAAAATGTTTTACATAAATGTTTGGGCCACCTGAAAGTGTCTTTTTAGAGACCCTGTAGAGTATGTATACTTAAGAGAACCATCTTTGTAGAGTACTGTTTAATACAGGTGCAATAGGAAACAATTGAGGGCTGAGGGCCAGGGCAATTGCTCAAAGAGGAACCCAGAGTTCAGTTCCTGGCACCCTGTGATAGACTAGCACTGCCCAGTGTGTTCCCTTCCTCGGAAAAAGAAATTCATATGTTTTCAAGATTTGTATGCTACATATCCTAGTAGTTATGCTATTAAAGTAATTTGAATCAGCCACAGGTAGGCCATCCTGTTGAGAATGCACTTGAACTTGGAGCCTTCAGTCTCTAAGGTAAGCCTCCAAATTTACCAGAGAGGAAGAAATGTACATTTAGGATTGAGCCCGTTACTTGCTATTGCATCACATTTGAGTTGAGTATAAACACTCTGTTTAGAAACAGTTGCTATTGTGGCCTCATTCAGTTAGCTTCTGCTGTCACGTCAGTGTGATAACTAACCAAATATTAATGCTTTCAAGTGTGGTTCAAGTGCTTCTTTGTGTTTTGCCTTGATTCCATTGACAACTAATGCTAACTGTTGATGTTAACTCTGGAAAAATCGGAGCCACTTAACATGTACTTGTTAGAAGATTTTCCCTGACATCGTATTATTTGTTAGAGAAACAGTAGATTTAAATTCACTTATTTTGGGTGGGGCTGTGGGGCCACACCCTGCTGTGTTCAAGACTTACTCCTGGCTCTGCTCAGGGTACAGGCAGTGCTTGGGGGACCATATATGGTACAAGTCGGTTGTGTACAAGGCAAGCACTTCTTCATTTTTAATTTTTGGGTCACACCTGACGGTGCTCAGGGTATACTCCTGGCTCTGCATTCAGTAATCACTCCTGGAGGGCTTGAGGGACCATATGGGATGCCAAGGATTTGAAACTGGGTCAGCCACATGCAAAGCAGGTGCCCTACCACTTACTACCTCTCTACCCCGCCCCCCCCCCCCCCCAAGGAAAGTAAGTGCTATAAGTTTTGATAATTCCACTTGTCTTATATCAAAACAAACAATGTGAAGTAAATTTGTGCCTGCTAAGAGGGTGGGCTGGGATGGTTGAGTAGAAAACTGGGGACACATTGGTGGAGTGAAGATAACTCTGGTGGTGGGACTGATGTTGTAACATTTAATGCCCGAAATAACTGTATTATAAACTTAGTAAATCACAGTGTTAGAATTTTTAAAGAATTTTTTTAATACCACCAGGGGCAAGAACATTACTGTAGCAGTATGGCACTTGCACACAGCCAATCCAGATCCAATCCCCACTATATCCCAGAGGGTCTTCTAAGTACTGCTGGAGTACAGAGTCAGAGCACCTTTAGGTGTGGCCCCCAAACCAATAATAAAAATACTACAGTAATGATTACTAATAGTGATCAATGTAACAATATCATGATAAACATATGCAAATCCAAGGGGAAAAGAGATGGCTTAAATTGAATTTTCTAGTTCCTAAAGTTCTAGGTAAAGAAACAATGGGATGTTGGGATGATAAATACATTCACTTCACAATTATAATAAATGCTTAAATAAGCTCCACTACCATATTCAAGATCCACACAAATAGCAGAATTAACACTGCTGAGAAACTGGCAAGTCTGGGTCAGGGAAACCGAACATGAGACCCTACACAGATGAGTAAATGTTATAAAATCTCAACTTTGAGACAAGTCAGGTTAGGTTCTCAGTCACTACACTCCCATTTGTGAGTAGCTACATAATGACCTATTAATAGGTTATTATTCATCTTAAAAGTAATAGGGAAAAAAATTATCTGCATGCAATGGGAGTGTGGGCCCTCTCAGTGGAATAGCAACATAACCTTGGAAAGAATAAACTATTAACATACAAAGCAATTGTTTTAGCACCTTTCACTTGAATCATGTAGCCAACATTTTTCAAAGTCCCAAGATAACTGTGCAAGTACACAAGGAAGTATAATTATAGATTTTCCAACCGAAGAGTACACAATCTGGAAGAAACTGCTTTTATTGTTAGAAATTGACAGCATTTGGTGGTAAAACCATCAACATACAAAATTTCATCTAGTAAAGTTTCAGGTGGCCAGTGACTTTGTCAATTAGGTCTGCTGGTCCTGGGCCAATTCCCAGGACAGTTTGAGAGCCTGGTGCAATTTGAGTACGTCCAGCATCTTGGATTAAACTTACAGTCAGTCCCAGCACTTTTGCATGTGTCAACAACTCTACCAGTGTTTCTTCATCGGGAGCTTTGACTACCACTTTGGGTTGGCCGCAGTATTCCCACTGTTTGAGCAATTCAGGGTTTCTCCTTTGAATTTGCTTGTAGGCAGAAACAGCAGCATGAGAGCACTGGGCAGCCACTTTCCCTTTGCCCATCTTTAAGTCATTTCGAACCACAAGAATCATTTTATATTCGCCACCCTCTCCTAAGACGCTTGCTTCAGTTCCAGTCTGTCTCTCTGTCTCATTCACAGGAGTTTTAGGGATCATTCCAAAGCGTACACGGAGACCCCAACCCAGGAACATGCCACACGCAACTCCAGCAGCCAGACTGAGTGCACCTGGTTGAGCCAAGTACTCCATGACCAAGGATTTGGAGAGCATCTTAAAGGAAAAAACAAAGTTATCACTATTTTGCAGTGAAAATACAAGCATGTTAGATAAAAACATTTGGAAATAGTATGTAAGAGTCATTTTCCTGGTTTTTTTTTTGGGGGGGGGGGGGGAGTTTGGGTTACACAGTAGCACCCTGGAAATATTCCCTGTTTGGAACCACTCCTGGTGTTGCTGGGGGGTCATGCAGTAAAAGGAACTGAACTGCCCTCCTGCTTGCAAACCATCAATCCCACTGAACTCTCTCCAATTCAGAAGTCTTTATTTAATAACTACAAGAGACCGTGTGTGGAAATAAAACAGTACTTGGACCTATTTATACATTTACTATTTTTTCTCTTCACTGATAAAAGCAATAATACAAGTAAAACTAGTTATTTTGAATCTCAATATGAAGAACCTCTCTGTGGTTCACAGTCAATAAAAATAAGTCTAGATTCAGTAAAACAAACTAAGTTCCTTAAGTCTGCTCTTCATGTCAGCCTGGTGAAAGAAAAATCTATTTTACTACAGTTAATAAAGAAACAACTATTATTCAGTTCTCTTCTGGATCATAGCAGTGGATCCCAACTGGGACAGTACTCAAGTTCCTGAATGCCACCACAATGGGCCTGGAGTAAAGTCCAATACTGAGACTAGACCTAAATACAGAAAGCTAAGGCTTAAAAGTGAAGACTGTTCTAAGGGACATTATCCACTATCGTAGGGAAAAACCTAGTCCTCTCATTAACTGAGTTTAGAATCTAACTTTATTTACGTATGAGTACCAAGTATTTTTTTGCAGTTTAAATATACACTAAATTTACCGTAAGTATAATTTTAAAACAATATCTTTTATTTTATGAAATCTTGTATCAGCAAAGTTGTCTTCAGTGTTTGAATTACCACTAAAAACGTCTATCAGTTTACATTGGATTCATAATGCTTCCATGCATAGGCACAAATATTGGTATTTTCTTTTTCAAAGGCTATATCTAAATCAAAGATGCACTTAATAAAATAGGTGAGGAGAGCCTGAGAGAAAGCACAGCAGGCAGGGTGCCTGCACTTCGTGCTGTGACCTGGGTTTGATCCCTGGCACCTCAAAAGGTCTCCAGAGGAGTGGTCCCTGATCAGGGCCAACTGGGAAAGCCCAGATGCTATGTCAAATGACCTTAGAACAGTTTGCAACAGCTGATAGATGGTGGGAAACAGCAAGGAATAAGCAAAAATAAAGGGCAGGATCTAGATCATAGAAGGCCTTGCACAGCATGAAAGGTTTGGAGTTTACCCTAAGAACAATAGGAACCTGCTACAGGGAAGTTATTTTTGGTTTTTAAAAAAAATCAGCTAATTAACTATGGTGCTATGCCACCCTGGAAGGGGAAGGGTGTCTATCCCTCCGCCTGTCCCCCTTTGCGGCAGTGACATGGTGGCCTGCATCTTTTAGAGCCTAATGAAAAGCCAGGTATGAGACTGCATTGACAAGGCAAGTGGGGCTTCATGGGATGAGGGGTGGAATCGGCCCTGCTCCCCGCCATGACAATGTTCCAGGTTGCAACCCTCTAACACCACCTCCGGTTTCTGACCAACCATGAACCCTGAGGCACACATACCAATTTCGGAACCCAGGGGCTTCTGGCAGTAATCCCTCTAGGTTTAGTTCCCTTGAATATAGCTGAACTAGGTTCAACACCCCACAGGGTTCCCCAAGCCCTGCCAAGGAGTAAGCCCTGAGCACTGGTGGATGTGCCCACCCTTGCCCCACCCCCCCGTCGCCCCCCCCCCCAAAAAAAATCAGCTAAGGTTTTTGTTTGGTTTGATTTTGGGTAGTGTGGGCTAGAAATACAGAAAGCTTTAATGTATAATTGGGGTTACTGAAGTGCAAAAAGTAAATGAGGAGAGTAGAAATAGTATGCAAGGGCAGGGATATAATAGAATCCCAAAGTGACTAGGATCTAAAGGAGAGTGAAATGGAAAGCTAGAAATAAAAGTGTCATATCTGCAAACTATCAGAGCACCTGGTATACTGTTCCTTTTCCACGAGTACTTAACTTGGAGAGAGGTGTACTGACAGTATTTTATGGCCCTAGAAGTGTTTATCACCAGGGAAAAATAGTATTAAATTCTTTGCACTGGATCAGTGGGTGGCATAGCAGTTTGAGCCACAGTAGAAGGTATCTCTGGTTCCATGTTCAAAGTGGCCTCTGGTTGTACTCAGGGACCATATGCATGGATGGAACGGACGTAGTAGGTGGAAAGCTTATCTTCTATACCCTTAAATTCTTATCAGGACCATTGTTACCTATCTCACAACACATCTGTTTACTATATAGTGCTTACATGCCAGCAGGACTTCTAATAATCCAACAATATTCCAAATAGAAGAAACGTTCATGTTAAAAAAAAAAAAAGTCTCCCACCCTCTATGTTAAGAATTAGAAGGATCTGCACAGATTTCTCCATTGCAATGTAACCACATCTTATATATCAGATCCAGGCCTGTCAGGAGAAAGAAGCACGCAGAGATCCTACTATGTGCTGAATAACACACGAAACTCTTTACTGCCATTATTGCTGGCATGAAGTTAAAAGTCTGTTATCACTAGTCTTAAAGATGGAAGGAGTGGAGGGGGAAGGGAAGGGAAGCTGCTTAGCCACAGTGATAGTAGCACTGTAGCACTGTCCTCTCATTGTTCATTGATTTGCTCGAGAGGGCACCAGTAACATCTCACAACAAATTTTACCAAGTCTGTTTTCCTGCCTCATATTTCATAGAAATCTCTTAAGTTTAAACTGTTAAAATTGGGCTGGAGAGATAGCATAGCGGGTAGGGCGTTAGCCTTGCACGCGGCTGACCCGGGTTTGATTCCCAGCATCCCATATGGTCCCCTGAGCACCGCCAGGAGTAACTCCTGAGTGCAAAGCCAGAAGTAACCCCTGTGCATCGCCAGGTGTGACTGCAAAAACAAACAAACACCTGTTAAAATTAACATAATACTTGTATTCTTTAAGAAGTTCTACTCTCAGGGCAAGAGCAATAATAATGCAGGTAAGGCAGTTACCTGGCATGCAGCAGACCCAGGTTCAATTCCAGGTGCCCCATATGACTCCCGAGTCCCACCAGCAGTGATCCCCTGAGCGCAGAGCCAGGAGTAAATCCTAAGCATCGATGGTCGCAAAACACCAACCCACCAAACCAACAACAAAACCAAACCAAAAGAAGTTTTTTTAATCTCAAAACATCCCAAATAGATTATCATCTTAATTCTGCCAAAAGGTGTTTAGCCTGATCCTTTTTCTGCTACTATAAATCTATCAGAAATCCTCAGAGCTTGAGATTTCAGTAAAAAGTATTTGTACTCACAAATAATCCTGAGCAATATAATGGTAATACAAAACACATGCTGTAAAACCTTCCTTTTGGTATCTTCTATTTCAAACTCTTCCAGACTAAACCCTTTTCACCAGTGCTCTTGATCACTTTACCTCCTAAATCATGTTTTACTCAACTATACTGCATCATTCTTTTTGAGCATAACCCTTCTGAAATTTTTGACACTCAAATCACTGTTTCATCTTTTCTCTCATTTGGGGGTCACACCCGGCAGTATTCAGGGCTTACTCATGGTTCTGCACTCAGGAATCAAACTATAGAGGCTGAGGGGCAACTGAGGTGCTGGGGATTCAACCCATGTCAGCCACACCAAGTAAGCACCTTTCCTGCTATACTCCTCCACCCCTTTTCTCTTTTCTTCACCTCTATAGGTCTCCAATTATTCCCTTATTCACTAAATTGAAATTGCTATGGAACTGAAATTAGACATTTGCTAATTGCCAAAGCCTCCAGAGTTTTCTGCACCCGAGACTTTTCTTTAAACTTTCTTCCCTGACCTCCCTGCAAAGACCTGAAGATGCTGTGGTACTTAGGCCCAGAGATACTCTGGCTGGGAAGTATAATCGGGCTCGTTGATACCTCCTTGTCCCCCAGCAATTTTTTTTAAATTTTTATTAGTGAGACACCATGAGGGGTACCTCATGGTTGTAGACTTACAAATTTTTGTGCTTGGGTTTTAATTATACAATGATCAAATACCCATCCCTCCACCAGTGCCCATTTCCAACCACCACGGATCCCAGTATCCCTCCCACCTCCCATCCCACCCTGCCTCTGTGGCAGGGCATTCTCTTTTGTTCTCTCTCTCCTCTTGGGTGTTGTGGTTGGCAAAAGAGGCATTGAGTGGCAATCATGTTTGGTCTATAGTCTACTTTGAGCAAGCTTCTCCCATCCTGGGAGGATCCTCCCTTCTCTATCTGAGCTCCCTTTTCCCCCCTAGCATGTGTGGTTGGCCTCCAAGCCATGGAGCAAACCTTCTGGTACTAATTCCAGCCACTCTTGGGTGTTAGTCTCCTATTCTGTTACTTTATGTTCCCCAGATGAATGCAATCTTTCTATGTCTATCCTTCTCTTTCTGAATCATTTCGCTTAGCATGATACTTTCCATGTAGTACCACTTGTATGTAAATTTCATGACTTCTTTTCTAATAGCTGCATAGTACTCCATTGTGTAGATGTACCAAAGTTTCTTGAACCAGTCATCTGTTCTCGGGCACTCAGGTTTTTTCCAGATTCTGGCTATTGTAAAGAGTGCTGCAATGAACAAACTAGTGCAGATGTCACTTCGACTATACTTTTTTGCCTCTCTGGGATATATTCCCAGGAGTGGTATTCCCCCAGCAATTCTTTATTAAAAATTTTATTTAGGGGGCCTGAGTGATAGTATAGTGGGCAGGGTGCTTGCCTTACACACCACCTGACTGGGTTCAATCCCCCGCATCCCAGATGGTACTGGGAGCTCTGCTAGGACTGATCCCTGAATGCAGAGCCAGGAATAAGATCTGAGCACAGCCAGTTTTGGCCCCAAAACCAAATAAATAAATTGTCACTGTACTCCCGTTGTTCATCGATTTGCTCGAGCGGGCCCAGTAACGTCTCCATTGTGAGACTTGTTGTTACTGTGTTTGGCATATCGAATACGTCACAGGTAGCTTGCCAGGCATTGTCGTGCGGGCAAGATACTCTCAGTAGCTTGCCAGGCTCTCCGAGAGGGAACCAAGTAAACATTTTAAATTTTATTTAATTATAGGGGCTGGAGCGATAGCACAGCGGTAGGGTGTTTACCTTGCACGTAGCCAGCCTGGCTGAGCCGGGTTGAATTCCTCCACCCCTCTCGGAGAGGCAAGCTACCTAGAGTATCTCACCCACATGGCAAAGCCTGGCAAGCTCCCCCGTGACGTATACAATATGCCAAACATAGTAACAACAAAGTCTCAAAAATGGGGACGTTACTGGGCCCGCTTGAGCAAATCGATGAACAGGAGGACAGTGTTTGTTTTGTTTGTTTATTTAATTATAATTCAACTCTCATGTTTACAATATTGTTAATGTTTATTGCTTTCTTTAACCCAACTTTCAATCATTTTACTTCTCTGGTAGTTTTTATCCCTGTCTTTTTCTTTTCTTTTCTTTTTTTTATTTGTGAAACACCATGAGGTACAGTTGTAGACTTACAAACTTTCATGCTTGGGTTTCAGTTATACAATGATTGAGTACCTATGGCTCTACCAGTACCCATTCTTCACCACCAATGATCCCAGTAGCCCTCCCACCCCCCACGCCATCCCCCCCACCCCACCCCTCCTCTGTGGCAGGGCATTCCCTTTTGTTCATGCTTTCTTTTAGGGTGTTGTAGTTTGCAATAGAGGTACTGAGTGGCCATCATGTTCGGTTTATAATTGCCTTGCAAACCTCTAGTTTGCAACAGAGGTACTGAGTGGCCATCATGTTCGATTTATAATTGCACGCATCTCGAATCCTAAGCGAGTCCTCCAAACATCCTTTACTTGGTGTGCCCTGCTCTGAGCTGCCTTTTCCCCCAGCATGTGCTGCCGGCTTCCAAGCTGTGGAGCAGACCTCCTGTTACTTATCAACTATTCTTGGGTGTTCGATCCCAGTCAACTTTTCTCACTGCCCTCTGATGAATTTCTCCAGCTTACAGTTGGCCCTCTATCTATACCACAGTCATCGGCCAAAAAGTATCATTCAAATTTTAATTAAAACCAACTGACAGGTCAATTCTTTCACTGCACTTAGCCACATTTCAGGTGCTCAATAGCTGAACAAATTAAAGTGAACAACTGAGCCACTCTATTAGCAAGAGAGACATGATTTCCTGCACTGCCAGAAAGATCTACTAACTGTGACGGTCTATATATTCTTTCCATTCAATCAATGAACCTGAAAATAAAGCACTTAAAAAAAAAAAAGTCAAGTTCCCTACTTCATCCCTACTAACATCCCAGAGGCCAGACAGATGGCTCAAAGCACCAGAGCTCCGGCCCGAGCGATAGGACAACTGGGAGGGCGTTTGCCTTGCACACGGCCGACCTGGGTTCAATCCCTGGCATCCCATATGGTTCCCCCCAGCATCGCCAGGAGCAACTCCTGAGTGCAGAGCCAAGAGTAACCACTGAACATAGCCGGGTCTAGCCAAAAAACAAAACAAAAACAAAAAAGCGCTGGAGCTCAAGCTCTGGAAGCGGAGGCCCGTATCCCCACTGCATGGCCCTCTCAAGCACAGCTCAGCCTGAGCAATGACCCTGCAGGCCCAGAGAGCAGGCCCAAGAATCACCAGGAGTTGCCACCCTTTGAGCAATCCGTGGGTGTCCTGGAAGGGGGGGGGGGCCGGGGACGGAGGGAAAACCCCATACAAGCTCTTGCTAACCGCCACCATCTCGCGAGACCCCCGGACACCTCCTCTCCTGCCAAGGGCTGCCTTGCCCAGCCAACCCCCAACGACCTCTAAAAGGGACCGCTCCCCGGAAATTATTTTCGATTTCTCTCCACCGACCCCACAGAAACCCACACAATGCCCTTCACCCGAGCTGGCGTGCTTTAATAGAAGCCGCCTCGGCAAGCCTTTCCCAGGCCCTACTCATCTTTAATTACAGACGCGGCGCGGCGGTGCATCCCTGGCGGGGCCGGGGAGTGGAGGACGAAACAGCCCTCGAGACGTCGGCGTCTGGAGGAAACCCCCACCGCGATCCAACACCGGAACCTCTCTCTCTTCCCCTCCCGAGAGCTCAGCGGGCGCCAGAGCGCTCCTCAACTGGAGGCGCGGGAGCCGTTAGCAACTGCCGGGCTGGAGGCTTTCCCCCAGGAACTCGAAACGTCGGGTCCGTCCCAGCCCAGCAGCTCGGTCCCTTCTCCCAAACGAGACCGGTAGAACCGGAACCGTGGCTCCCGCGGCCCCTGGGCGCAGACAGTTTAGGAAGCTGAAGATGACAGGCGGTAGGTGGAGGGCACAGCATGAGGGCAGGAGAAACACCGCCACTGCAGAGCGATGGAGAACATCCCTCGCCTTTGCCCGGGCAGGCGCGCACCTACCTAAACCACCGCTCCTTGGAGGCTCGCGCGCGCTTGGAGCGTTGCTCACGTTGGAGCCGCGAACTCGCTTCTACCGCGCGAGTTACCTCTTCCGGGGTTCCGGGACAACAAGTTCCGGATCAAGCACCGCCCCGCGCACAGTCAATCAATCATTCTTCCGGTGGCTCCGCCCTCGGCATCCCAACCGAGCGTGAACTGAAATCCCGCGAAGCCCCGCCGGAAAAAAAAAAAAAAAATCAGGAACGTTTCTCTTTAAGTGGCGGTCTCCCGAGGGGGCGGGGAAAACGCGGACCGGAAGTGACGCTGAGTTCCGGTGAGTCGGAGCCCAGCGGCTGGTGTGTGAGTCGGTCGGGAGCCGCTTCCAGGATCTGGGGATCCAGAGAAGCCGGGGTCAGAGCGGGTAGGTAAACGACCTCGGGGGATTGGGAATGGGGAACCCGCGACTTTCCTCGGAGCCTGACTTCTTCCTGAGCTTTTACCCACGGAGACGTCCCGCTCGAGGGCGGAGTGGTTTTGACTTCAAGTAGAGCGTTAGGGCACCGCTGACGCGGGATGTGTCTGTGTCTTGGCAAGAGCCCGGTTATTTGGGACACCTCTCAGGGCTTGACCACCCGTGCACCGAACCCGTCACGTTGGGCGCCCGGCCATTCACTGTCAGTGTCGTGGACGAGGAAGGGGTTCTAGGTTTTTATCGCTTACCCATCCCGTGCTCCCGTGGCGTCTCGGACCTCGGAGTAAACCGAGAACGTCTTCTCTTCGGATGACCAAGCATCTGTTTTCGGTGCTTGCCTTCCCCAACCACCTGCGCGTGATGCTAAACGTATACTTCCCCTAAACAAAATCCTGGCGTGCCAGTGCAGTCCAAAGCGTTGGTGGTAGCCACGGGAGTGGGGCCTTTGCTCCACTTGCTGAAGACCACCGGCACTGCTCTCTCTGCTCTCATGGAGAATAGGATTCTCTGCCTTTTCCAAATCCCTGACGCCTTCAGCCTGTTAGGTCATTACAGTGGAATTATTTGCAATAAATCAAAAGATTTCTTACCCTCTAAATTCCAGGAAGCCAGGTATGACTCTTTCCCACTGCTCAAGGATTACCAGTGACCTCTAGTAGGTTTTGCACTATTCATAACTATGTTGAACTTCATAACTTCATGCAAAAATCATTTATACACGCAGACACACATCTATGTCTATATCACTAAGTGATTAGTTTTTCAATTTGTTATTTTCCCTGTATATAGTGTCCGTTAGTTCCCTTTGGGGCTTTTGCAAAATTTTATCATTTGCACTAATGCTTTGGAGAAGCTTGCACAAGTATTTCTAGTGTTTTAATGAGAATTCAGTGTTCCTGCTACTAATTCTTTGGAGAAGCTTACACAAGTATTTCTAGTGTTTTAATGAGAATTCAATGTTCCTGCTACTACCTAGCTCTAAATTTAGTTGTGTATTACTAGTGTAGACGATGAGAACTAGAAACTATTATTATTTGAATAGCAGGGGTGGGTTGGACAACACTGGGCTGTGCTCAGGACCTGCTCCTGGCTTTGTGCTCAGGGATCACTCCTGACGTTACTGGGGTCTGCTATGTGCAAGGCAAGCGCTTTTACCTCCGAAAGATTTCTTGTCTCTTAGAAACTTACTTTGCGGTACGGTTTTAGGCAGTTTAGATTTTATGGAACTTGGCAGAGATTTGGTATTACCTAAATGCAAGTAATTTGTGTAGGTGTGAAGTGACTACAGCAGAAATCTTTTGTATTTTATTTCATTGCATGTATTACTTGAAAACTGATACTTTTTTATTTTCTTTAGGGATATATTCTATTGAATATAGCCAATCAGTACATTTAGTTGCTGTGACTCACTCACATTCCAAAATGAAATTACCATTTTCCGAAGTACTTAATAATTAATGCCTTTTAGCAGTTATCTATCTATAGTATCTATCAGTTGGTTTAATTTACACATTGTTCCATTCTGAGTTAGATGAAAGTTTCACACTTGTCTAGGAGCCCAAATGACAGGATTTTTGAGATGTGGAATGATATTTTTGGATTTACCATCTGCAACTAGTAAATATCCTTATTGAATTTATAATTTCAAATGTGATCATCCATGTATGCATGTGTGTATGTATTTGTTGTTGCTGCTGTTTGTTCATTTCAGTCACCCATGGACTGGTTACCCAATTCTTTTCACTTTTTCATCTCACTCCTGCTTTTGACTTGAATTCAACCCCTGAACCTTGAATATGGGAGACATGTGCTCTACCACTGACCAATATCCTCAGCCCTTGAATTTCAGAATCATAAACATCATTCTGTCCTCTGTCCTCCCGTTGTTCATCCATTTGCTCGAGCGGGCCTAGTAAAAGTCTCCATTTTGAGACTTTTAAAATTATAAAAGCTTGGTTGGATGAAGAAGGCTTCAAAACATTGAGTAAAGCTTATAGGTTTCCCAACTTTCTGAACTGGTCTAGATTGTGTTGATAAAAAATACACTTACAAAAAAAAGTTCACTTACATTGCCTCATAGGATTGTCACAATTATAGATGAGATAGTAAACATGAAATCACTAAACAAATGTGACGGTGTTGTCATTTTACTCTGATATCTGGAACTGTATTAGTGCAAATTACCATTACTTTACAGCATTTCGAAATTTGAAATTTATATTAAGGGTGTTGTTTATCTGAAAATATTGTCACACTTTCCAGTGATGATCTTTGTCCTACTTTTGAACGTAATAAAAGCTTGCCAAAGAAGAGTATGGTACTGTGATCCATTAAATTAGTCACCTGGTTAATAAGTAGGTAAGTAAGATGAGTATAATTTGCATTTGTGAACTTAAATGTGATTTTTTTCCTCCATGGTCATGATCTCTTGTCACTTAAGTTCCAAATATAACACTTTGGTGGTGGTGAAGGTGCGGTAACATACATCAAAACCATAAATGTTAATACTATTGTACTTTATTACCTAAACTACAATACTTTATTTTTTCTCATTAAAATTTCCAAATACAGAGAAGCTGTCGTTTTTGGTACTTACATATAGTAGACTAAAGTTAGAAGTAATCTTACTTGCTTATGTTAGGAAGAAACTTGATGGGTTCACTTCTAATATTTAGAATTAGAAGGAAGCTCAGTGATGATATAAATTATTTTAATTTAACAGAGAAAATTGGGGCCCAGGAATATTAATTACCTGCCTGGAGCATATGAATTAGGTAATATCATCAGAACTTCAACTAAAGTCCCCAGTAATTCCTTCTGGGTTTTTTTGTTTTGTCTTTTTTGCAGTACTGAAACCCAGGGATTAACAGGCAAGGCAAGCTCCTTACTGCTGAGCTGCATCCCTGGCCTGTGTTGTTTCTTTTTTATTTGTTTGGGAGTAATACTTAGGGCTTACTCCTGGCTCTGTGCTTAGAGGACATACTTGGCAATGTTTGGGGGACCCTGGGGGCCAGGGATGGAACCTGGGTCAGCTATGCAGGGCATTAAATGCCCTACCCAGTGTATTGTCTCTCCAGTCCCTGGCCTCTGTTCTTTCTGTTTTATGCTAAGGCTATATTCAGATGTTTTCACATGATTTGATATTTTCTGCTTTGTATGAGAATATATTAAATGTATAAATGCATTAAAGCAATAACTCTGTGTTTGTATGTGTGTTTTCCCTCTGAGCTGATTTAGTCTCGCTAATTAGGAAAACAGAAATATTATGGCTGGCAAAAATTACAGGAGAATGGCATAAGAAGAGGGAAAAATTAGTTCTGTTCTTCAGCACAGTGAGTTCATGCTCCATTACTCTCAGATATGGAGGTGTCACCTTTCTGGCAAGTGGAAAAGGCAGAGGATCTTTGTAACACATGTCTCGACTGAGTGAATGTTGCTAATGAGTAGGAGGAAGCTGTATTAATTTCTTAGCTCATGCTAAAATTTTTTTCTAGGTTTATAATTTTATAATCTTTATATTTTCATTAATCTTTGGAGTTATTCATTTCTAGATAAATATTGACAGTAAAAGAGTTCTTTGTCTTTGGGAGAACTCTTTGATTCTGTTGATTTCTGAGTGATTAGTTTGGGGCTGGAGTAATAGTACAGTGGGTAGGGTGTTTGCCTTGCATGCAGCTGGCCTGGGTTCAGTCCTCGGTATCCCATGTGGTTCCCCCAAGCACCACCAGGAGTGATTCCTGAGTGCTAGGAGTAACCCCAGTGCGTCGTTGGGTGTGACCCAAAAGTGTCCTCACACCAAAAAAAAAAAAACTGATTATTTTCTCCTCTCTCTTGGTGTTACAGTGCCAGGTACTTTTTACATTGCTGTTTTTATCCAAAGTTCTTTTAATTTTTGTGTTCTCCCAATCTGGATATGGATTCCAGATTAGAGAATTCTAACTAACCCTGGAAACAAACCGGATAGATAATAGTGATAGTTTGATTGTTGTTAGTTGATAATCTCCTTTTATAAAGACTTGCAAAATTTTGGGGATGAATTTTAAGGTTATTGCCATCAAGAAATTCATTGGGGGGTGAAGAGGTTGAAAGCAGTTTGTGTAAAAGCTTCATTTAAAACTCAATTTGAAAATATTATGCTTCTTGAAGGAAACTTGTTTTTGTTGTTTTAAATTTTTTAAATTAAATCATTGTGAGATACACAGTTACAAAGTTGTTCATGATTGGGTTTCAGTCATAGGATGTTTCAGTATTCATCTCTTCACCAGTATACATTTCCCACCACCAATGTCCCCAGTTTCCCTTCTTCCACCACCCCCATCCCCCTGCCCCATGCACTTCTTTTTCTCTCTCCCTTTCCCCCTTCCCTTCTCTTCTCTTCTCTTCTCTTCTCTTCTCTTCTCTTCTCTTCTCTTCTCTTCTCTTCTCTTCTCTCTCTCTCTCCTCCCTCCTCTCTTCCTCTTTCCATTCCCTTCTCCCTCCCTCCCACCCCTACCCCATGCACTTTCTTGGCATTATGGTTTGCAATTCAGGTACTAGCGGGTTATCATGTATATCCCTTTATGTATTTTCAGCACTCAGTTCTTGTCCAGAGTGATCATTTCCAACTATCATTGACATAGTGATCCCTTCTCTATCGTAACTGCCCCCTCTGTTTGTGCAAGCTCCTGACAGTGGAC